CGGTCAGCAAGGGACTGAATGCACCAAGGAAGAGCTGCTGCCGTCTCCAAATGCCATATAGGGATGTTTGAACAAGTTCTGCCCCTCCATAACTTCAGGACTATGTGCTGAGGGAGGGGAAGGAGAAGGAACCTTGTTCCACAGGTCAGGAAAGCAAAACCCTCCACTTCCAGAAAGGTTTGAGGGCTGAGCACCCACTGCCTTCAAATAAGGGTAGGAAACAGGCACAGCTCACACCTGGCTGAAGCAGCACTTGCAGGGCTGTGACATCCACCAGGAAGATTCAGTTCCCTTTAACATCATTTGGGAGGTGGGAAAACCGGCTCGGGATAAGCTTTCACCTGCAGTAATTAGAGTCAAAAGGGTAATGAGAAGATAAGGGCTAAAGTCCCCTCTCTCTGTAACCTGAACCCTGGGATTAAAGTCCTGTTGGTAACAATACCATCCTCCTCAAAGGCTGTCTTGATTTGAGTGGAGGACGTTTGGGCACCTTCAGAGCAGAGAGGGTTTTTGTCCATAGGCACTTCTGAGTTGGGGAGAAGTGAGTGATGCTGCTCCGTGGGGTATCTCCTGCTGCATCTCTGCTTTGGGGACCTCCAAGAGGTTCCTGCTTGGTGTCCTGGCCACTGGTGAGTTTCCAGGACTGCTCCTCGCATGGCACAAACCAGAGTGCTTGTGGGAAGCAGAGGGTCTTCACCCCATTGGACTGTGTCAGGAGGAGAGGGAAGATAGGACATCAGCATGAAAAAGAGGTGCAAAGAGAGGAAAAAATCCCTGAATGGAGTGCCCTGGACATGGGGAGAGCCCCATCTGCCTTTGCACGGTCCCTGCTGAGCATCACTCCTTTCCTGCAACCCAAATGTGCTGGATGTGAGCAGCACCAGACCAGTGCTGGAGGACACACTGCCAGATTACCTTCTGGCTCTCCCTTTCCAAATCTGATTAAGAAGGCAGATCTCAAAGCCTTTCTACATTTAGTGCAGGTCCAAAAGACACTGGCAAGTCCTAGAGGTGGAGCTCAGGGGGTGGCTATGCCTATTACAGAGAGGGCTGCAGCTCCAGCAATCTGTAGCATAAGGTGGAAACCAGCCCTTGGAGGAAAAAAAAAGAGGAGAGAAGTTGGGAAATCAGTTTGCCTCTTTCCCTAAACCCAGTACACAAGCTGGCAAGACACACTAATGGGTGACCCTCTTTCTAAACGTGCTCCTTTTACCGGAGCCCATGAGGAGAACCTGAAACCACGACTCCTCCCTACATTTCTTGTTTTCATTTGTTCTGCAACTGAATAAGTTAACAAAAGGAAGTCAGAATGGTTCTTTCAATTTGGCTTCTATAAAAAAAAAAAAAGGAAAACAGTCTGGGTGTGAACTTGCCTCTCAGGCTTCAGGATTTACCATCACTTTATAAACCCCTGAAAATAGGAGTTTATAACAGGAGACTCCTGACACCACCTCCACGAGCAGTGCTGCCTGTCTGCCCCGGGATTGTTTAACAAGGAACATTTTGTCATCAAGGGTGGGTTTCATCAATACTATACAGGTGAATAAAAAAATACATATATTCTCTTTGAACAAGAATCCCAAGTCCAGGCATGTGGAAGGCTGCGGTGCAGGGACCGGCGTGGGCAGGAGGTCCCCAAGTCCCTCACGAGTGATGGCTGTTGATGAGGCTGCGCAGCTGCTTGGCCACGGTGTCGATCAGCTTCTGCTTGTCCCTCTCGTTTTTCCGAAACTGGGCAAAAACGTTGTTTTTTCTGCTCGTGTCCTTCATCCTGCATAGAGCAGAAACACGTTATGGATGGCACAGGAAGAGCTGCTCAACGTCGCACCCAAGCCCCACGAAGGAATTCCATGTACAGTGCCCACAGAGCACTGACAGAGAGAGGAGGTGACTGCACCCACAGGCTCTGCCCCAACTTTTCTCATGTATTCGTAGAAACATGGGCATACCAAGCCACGTGCAGGCTTTGTATTTATGCTTTAAACCCCACAGATCCCTACCAGTGTCACCATTGGGTCTACTTCTAAGGCTAAATTTCATGAAACCCTAAAGCCTCTTGTCCTCCCCTCCCCTTCCAGTCTTTCACAGAATCATGGAATCAACCAGGTTGGAAAAGACCTTTAAGATCCAGTCCAACCATTAACCCAGCACTGCCAAGGCCACCACTGCCCCATGGCACTGAGGCCTCTGCTCCACCTGTGGCCTCTGCTCCTGCTGTGTGAACACTTGCAGGGACGGTGCCTGCAGCCCTGCCCTGGGCAGCCTGTTCCAATGCCTGAGCACCCTCTGGGGCAGGAATTGTTCCTCAGCTCCATCTAAACCTGCCCTGGGGCAGCTTGAGGCCGGTTCCTCTTGTCCCATCCCTTGTTCCTTGGGAGCAGAGCCCAGCCCCTCCTGGCTCCATCCTCCTCTCAGGCACTTGTAGGGAGCCATCAGGTCCCCCCTGAGCCTTCTCTTCTCCACACTGAACCCCCCAGGTCCCTCAGCCCTTCCCCATCACCCCTGTGCTCCAGGCCCTGCACCAGCTCCGCTGCCCTTCTCTGGCCCTGCTCCAGCACCTCAATGTCTCACTTGTATTTCTCTTTGCTAGATCCCCATGTCACATTCTGAAATGGGAAATTATAACACTGGAATATTATGGGAAATTAAAAAATTAGCATTGGATCCACAGCATTAAGGCTTCTTATTTGACACGATGCATTGCATGCGGCCAGGAGATGTAGGTTTTGGGGCAGCTGGAAAGGTTTGGAGTTGTGAACTGAAAATATTATACAGTGTTACAGAATATAATTTATTTTAAAGGAAGGGATCCAGCACAGGTTTCCTCAATTTAAAAATCTTCTTGAGATTTATATTTTTTAAATCACATTTTACAGAATCATAGCATCCCAGCCTGCTTTGGGTTGGAAGGGACCTTAAAGCTCCTCCAGCTCCAACCCCTGCCACAGGCAGGGACCCCTCCCACTAGAGCAGCTTGCTCCAAGCCCCTGTGTCCAACCTGGCCTTGAGCACTGCCAGGGATGGGACATTTAATACGTGAATCAGCGCCCTGCTCTCCGCAGGGCCTCCAAAAAGCCAGAGAGAAGAAGAGCAGGGGGTAGGATGGGACCTGAAGATGAAGCTGCTGCAGCTCCATCCCCCTCTGCCATGCAAAGCTGGGGGTTCATGCATGCTTGTGTTCACAGATGCATATCTGGGGGGGGGGCAGGTCTCAGTGCACGCTGCAAGCATGAGCTTTATGCAGACAGGGCACGTGCTGGGAAGGGAAATCACCCCACAACGGTCAATCCTTCAACAGTTGAAGGTATCAGGCTCCTAATATCCAACCTGCTGGTTCCCAGCCGGCACCGCTCTTGTATAATACCCTAATTTGTAAATGATTTTCTTGGTAAATCAGATCTGGCAGAAGCTGATGGCTTTGGACGAGTCACGTCAGCCTGAGTTTTCAGCTTTGGGGATCTAAATGAAGCATTAAAGTGACTGGGACACGGCGCTGATAGTCCTGGGAAGTTGGCACTTCATCAAACCAGGGGGTTTTCAGTTAACGGAGCAAAAGCAAACTTCTTGAAACTTACTTAACCAATTTAAACAAAAAAACAAATTAAGTTTTTTCATGCTTCAATCTTCATAAAAAAAAGGCCAAAGGGAATCTGAAATGTTCCCAAAAACATCCAGCTTGGAACGGGAAACAAGGATAACAACTTCATCCGAAAGGCTAATTTGCTAAAGTTGTAAGTGCCCAAAGACACAGGATTACAACCAAGCTGCCTTCCCAACAGTAACAAGATAGCTTGGAGCACTTTTATTCACCAAAGTAAGTACTATTTTAATTTCTCTACTTTTTTAAGCAACGCAGGTTTCCGGCTGCTCCTCTGCAAGAACCAGGGAGCGATGCTCCAATGGAAAGCAGTGTCTTTGAGTCTCACAGGATACAGGTGTCCCAGTACCCTCAATTTTGGACATAACCATCCTCCCATGGGACACCTTAGGCAGTGCTGTACAGCTCCAGCAGGTCTCAGATCACTTTACCAGGAGGGTTGAGAGCTCTGCTTCTACTTCACAGCACACACGGGGACATCAGAGGTGCTGAGAGTAAACTTGTACCTTCAGAAACCTCCACCCAGTGCTGTACCCATTGCTCTCCATCACTGCCCGCTGCAGTTACCCCCAGGTAATGCATGGGGAATTCACAGCAGAGCATCCTCTGCCATAAGAGCCCTTTCTCTCATCCTGGGCATCCTCAGACCCATCTCTGATCCCATGGGATCTGTTCAGGTCCATGAAATGTTTTTGAAGTAACACGTGTTGTATGTAAGAAAACCTTCTTTGAATTATTAGAAAGGCTCTGCATGGATAAAGCTGCTGGATCAGGAAGAAAAAGCATTATGGTTGGAGCACTGATCCCCTAACAAACTCACATAGGTGGGCCTGCTTAAGTGGAGATGAGTGTCTGGGAGGGACAGGAGCTGCTGGTATCTTCAGAGAGAGCATGAAGGGAGAGGTACTAAGCTATTAAGTATTATTAATGAATTAAGTTGCCTACAGGACACACAGTCCTGCAGAATCTGGGCTGTGCTATGCCAGGGACCTGGCAGCATTGGGAGCTGCTGCATCCCTGTGGAAAGCTGAGCTTGCAGATGTGCTTGAGGAGACCACACCAGTTCTGGTCCTGCCATCACCACCCTGCAGATGACACTGAGCCAATGCAATGTGGTTGGTATTAAAGGTTTTCAGAGACACCAGCCTATTTCTTTCCCAGCATTTAGCTATAGGAAGCACCCTAATCAAGTGGTGCATCCAGACACCAAGACTATCAGGTTGGAAAGAGGGTGCAATGCTTTTGAGCAGCTCTTTGGAGAATTGAGACTTTAATTTCTTTAAGTGTGTTCCTGCAGTGCCCTGGGACAACCAAGCCTGGGTCTGTAACATGGTCTGTATGTATTAGCGCAAGGATTAAGAGGAAGGGAAAAAGAGAGAGCTCAGTGCTGTCCCCACCCCTGTCAACAAACACCACCTTCAATAAAGCCAAGCTTTGTTTAAATTAATCTATAAGGGAAAAAAAGCAATGGAGTAAAAGCTCCTCTTTTAGCTCTAATTAGTGCATTTGAGACGATAAAGTTACCGGTGAGAACCGTTCCAAAGACAGCTTGCATTTAGATCATTTAGTGCTCCATTTAAATCAAACAATAAAGTCACTGCAAGGTGAGGGTAAAAGCCCAAGCAAGCAGCATACTTACACTCGTGATATCCTATGGGAGATGTGTGATTAGGAAAAGAGATAATGATGAAAACAGGTTACAAAATGAACCAGTGGATCAGCATTTCACATCGCCTCGTGGGCAAAGCTTGGCTGCTATGGAGAGGGATGGGGAAGGCTCAGGTGGATGTGCCTGAAGCTATGGCTGGGTCAATGCACAGTGTCTGGGGTGCTGGAGCTGGTGGATGATGCACAGAAGATTCCCCAAAGGGCCTAAAGCCCAAGCAGGGAGAGGGCAGAGTATGCAGGCAATGATGCTGTGCCGGTGATGGCACGCCACAAGGATGCAGGAGATGCAAGTGCTAACCTGGTGGGTAACTCTGGGAAGCAAATGGAATACCTTCAAATGAGATCCCTTTTGGGGAGAAGGCTGGCAAGCCAAACTGGGGTTTGTGGCTTTTTAACACCAATGCATGGGTGCTGCATGCTTAAATAATGCCTGGGAAAAATGGCCAGGAGCATGCAGCTGCCCTCCTGCTGTCCTAGTGCCACCCCACAAACTGCCACATCACCCAGCTCACTGCCTGCTTCCCATTCCCTGGCTCTTCTAACTGCTTCATGTCCAAGTTCTCTGATTTTTGATAGCTCTTTATGTTACCATTTTACTGGCAGCTCTGAGTATATCTCAAGCTTTTGCATTATGGATGTTGAGTTGTGAATATGTTGTGAACAACACAGGATATTACACAACACATAAATACATATATAAAACCAACGTTATGATGTACAGAAGTGCTTTACACACAGCAACTACTGTAGTTCAGGCCCTCTGTACCATAGTGGTAATATCTAGATGTCATAAGTTGCTGTGAAATTACTTATTCACCTCTGCAAGAGGAGGTGGCTCAGTTACATGGATCATAACTACTACAGATGCACCTCCAAAACTGGGAAGCACTCCAAGGGCGGCTGGTGCTCCCAATGAGAGCCTGAAAGTCCACCAAAGAAAGGGTTATCTGGGCTACCTCCTACCAGGTGACTGCTGGCACTTCTCTCCCACCTGCTAGAGGGGTTACAAGTGAAGCAAATCATACAGTCATGGAATGGTTTGTGCTGAAGGGACCTTAAAGCTCCTCCAGCTCCAACCCCTGCCACAGGCAGGGACCCCTTCCACTGGAGCAGCTTGCTCCAAGCCCCTGTGTCCAACCTGGCCTTGAGCACTGCCAGGGATGGGGCAGCCACAGCTTCTCTGGGCACCCTGTGCCAGCGCCTCAGCACCCTCCCAGGGAAGAGCTTCTGCCTAAGAGCTCATCTCAGTCTCCCCTCGGGCAGGTTCAAGCCATTCCCCTTGGCCTGGCCCTACAGGCCCTTGTCCCAAGCCCCTCTCCAGCTTTCCTGCAGCCCCTTTAGGCACTGGAGCTGCTCTAAGGTTTCTCTGGAGCCTTCTCTTCTCCAGGCTGAACAATCCTGGAACAAATCCTCCTCTTTGGGTCTGCAGTGAACTCATGGACTTTCCCTCCTTGCTGCTGGCTCACAGGAGTGGCACCAGCCACCTCACAGGAAGTCAACACATTTCAATCCAAACCCTGGAATTCTGGTTAGTGGGATAAACCAGCATGTTTCTAGTCGAGTTCCCGTTGTCCACCCAGAGGTGAAACCTTTGCTCCCTGCAGCACCACGATGGAACACGCTGCCAAAATCCACACTTGCTCAAAGCAAGATGGGGCTAAGATTATCCCGGTTATCCAGACCCGCACTCACTTTTCCAGCAGGACAAGGGCTGTCGTTGGGTTCACACGAAGATACTTGCACGTGGGTTGCCCGTAGTCAGCCAAATACGTCGACCAGTCCCACTGGATGAACAGATCCAAGAGCTGGAGCAGAAAAAACACACAGATGGAAGATTTATAAAGCTGGTCAAAGAGCGGATGGTTGAGCTAAAAGCTGACCCTGGACAGGATGAATTAACCACAACAAATGGGTTTTAGTCTTTATTAATTCATTTAATACTATCTGCTAATATCTATCTATTAACATATTCTTATTTAATCATTAATTTATTACTATTTAATGTCAATTTATGTATGGCTGTATTAATTTAGCTATAGTGCACCCCTGCCACTTTATCTCTATTTTTGGGGTGAACTATCAGTACAGAGGATAGGAGGACCAAGATACCCCAAGGAGATGGGTGGCAAAGACATCCTGATGCTCTCAGCTACAGCAGGAGGGCAATTTTGGGGTTAAAGTCATTGAAAATTTCTTCTGGCCCCAAATGGCCTCCAGCACCATCTGAACCATGCCACAAGGATTTCTCATCAGGCTTGGTCCACTTCAACAGCTTTCAAGTGCTTTGTAAGCAGCTCTAACAATGATGAGAGCTCCCTAAGGAGGTTTGGGACCCATTCAGGAGCTCAGTGGTTTGAACACAGCTACCAGAGACCAGGAATCCCAGGTGGTTTCCAGACGTTTGTAAGAGAAACCACCAGCCCCTGGCAGTAGGGGAAGGATTAATTCACCCCTCCATCACAGCCCGTGCTCCACACCTGAAGTCTTTCACCTCCACAAAGGACTCCCTGAGTGCCCCATCACTCTCAGCGGATCCAGTTGAGGGACAAACAAGCTACAGCCCAGGTTTCCTGTACATCCTCCTCCACCCCACCTTTTGCATCTTTGTTTTCCTTAAAACCCAAACAGGAGCTCTCACGTTGAAGAAGTCCCTGCTCCCTGCAGGGGGCTGCACTAAATGAGCTTTAAAGGCCCCTTCCAGCCGAAACTGTTCTATGATTCTATGTCTTTCCCACACGAGGACCTCCTTACCCCTAAGAGGACTGGCCTCTCCATCGCCCCTGAGAGCACAGCTGAAGATGCATGGGATGCAGCCTGCTTCTCCATCATCTAAAACAGGTTAATTAAGAGCGGCTGCATTCCCCCCCTGCTCCAACCTTCTGCCTTGGAGAGCTGCTGTGACCTCTCTATTGCAGGACAGGCTGCCAAGCATGTGGACATCTTCATCGCTCCCAGCACCCACCACTGAAGCCCGGAGAAGGACCATCCCGCAGCCAAGCGGGGACCATAGAGGGCTCATTGTACCCGCGTCTCCATGGTTTTCCTGGAAGCTCCAGCACTGTTTAACAACACATCCTGCCCCGCCAAGAAGGGGATTTAGCTCCTCCAAGACCTCAAGGTACAAAACAAAAATGTGCAACAAGATTCTTTTTGACTATGTAGGTCAGGGCAAAGAAAAGAAGCTGTCAGGAACAATCCCATGGGCTGGCGGGGGGGACGGATTAGCCGGGACCTAAGAGGGCTTTTCCAGCCTGCGGTCCTGAGCGGCTTTGTATGGCGGGTCCATTGTGTTAACTACAAACCCGAGCTGAACATCATTGGCGGGAGGTTTTTCCAATGGGCACCTTCAAGAGACAACCTTAAATATGATTTCACAGGCTCTTTTCAGACAGCACAGCGGGGCCCAAACTCTTCTATGGGGCTTTGCTGGCTGCTGGGGCAAGTTGCATGGTTGAACAGGCTAAAGCGGATCCCCCCCAACGCACCAAAGTCCTTTTGCTGGTGGCCCTGGAGGGATGAACGTGCCTCTAGCAACCCATAAACAAAGCAGCACGAGTTACTGCACAGAAAGTGCATGGCCGGGCCATGGAAGGGCCAGGTAGCCATTCATAGGGAGTAGAAATAAAGCCCCAGGAATAAGGGACTAAGGAAGAAGCAAATGCAAAGGGGAAGATTAGAAGTAGGTTAGGGGGAGGTGGAATTAAAAGCACTGGGAGGTGTCATAAAGGAGGCTGAGGGGGACAGCACTGGCTTGGGGAAGGCTCAGCAGATGAATAAGGAAAGGGCCTAGAGAAACCTCCCATGAATGTCTTTCAGAAGAGCGTGGCTAATGCAGCATGGGGAGCTGTTTAAGAAGAACTTGGATGAACAGCTCAGCCCTTGCCCTCCAGCTTGGGAGCCTGAGCCAATGCTTGCCATTCTCACCAGGGCAAGGTGAAAAGTGAACGGTTCTTAGGCCAACAGCCATCCCCATCCCACAGCCTTCCTACAGCTGAGCTCCAATTCGGTTCAGCTCAGCCAGGTTGAAGCAATGCAGCTCTTCTGCACACGGGAATGTACAAGGCCAGGTTGGACACAGGGGCTTGGAGCAAGCTGCTCTAGTGGAAGAAGTCCCTGCCCATGGCAGGGGTTGGAGCTGGAGGAGCTTTAAGGTCCCTTCCAACACAAACCAGTCTGGGATTCTATGATTTTACTCTCATCCATCAAGCCATTCATGTAGCTCCAGTTGCATTCCTGGCTGCAAGAGTACAATAATCACATCTGAGAGAAACCCAGCGATATGGGGGTGTTGGTCAAGAGCCAGCTGAACATGAGCAGCTTGTGCCCAGGCAGCCAAGAAGGCATCAGCATCCTGGCCTGGATCAGCATCAGTGCGGCAGCAGGGCCAGGGCAGGGATTGTGTCCCTGCACTGGGCACTGGTGAGGCTGCACCTCGAATCCTGTGCTCAGCTCTGGGGCCCTCACTCCAAGAGAGACCTTGAGGTGCTGGAGCGGGGCCAGAGAAGGGCACTGGAGCTGGTGCAGGGCCTGGAGCACAAGTGTGATGGGGAAGGGCTGAGGGACCTGGGGGGTTCAGTGTGGAGAAGAGAAGGCTCAGGGGGGACCTGATGGCTCCCTACAAGTGCCTGACAGGAGGATGGAGCCAGGAGGGGCTGGGCTCTGCTCCCAAGGAACAAGGGATGGGACAAGAGGAACCGGCCTCAAGCTGCCCCAGGGCAGGTTTAGATGGAGCTGAGGACCAATTCCTGCCCCAGAGGGTGCTCAGGCATTGGAACAGGCTGCCCAGGGCAGGGCTGCAGGCACCGGCCCTGGAGGTATTTAAAAGAGGTGTAGATGTGGCCCCTAGCGACATGGTTTAGTGGTGGCCTTGGCAGTGCTGGATCAACAGCTGGGCTCGATGACCTCAAAGGTCTTTTCCAACCTAAATGATCTTGTGATTCTAAATAAGCCCCATCCTAAATGTGCTCCCAACCTGGGCTGGACCTTCCCCAGGCACTGGGAGACCCAGACTCCCCCCGGCCAGCTCACGACAGTGATGGATAGCCTGTGTATTTTACAACTGCTTGCTCACATCCATCTTGCTGGCGAGGCAGGTCTGAGGATAGCCGGGGCCAGCACCTTTGCCCCTGGCTGCCGTGTGGCACAGGGCATCGCCGGCGCTCCCAGGGCTCCGCCGCAGGTCATGTACCAGAGGAGAAGAGGTCTTGCGAGGAGGAAGCCCGATGGCTCAGAGCAAGCTGCCTCGAAGCGATTTATCTGTCACATAAATGTGGTTTTATTGGTTTTACTGTTTAAACTTTTCACCTCTGCTGCTAAATGTGAATGACTGGGGGGGGGGAAGAGAAAGGAAAAACCCGCCTGCACCGCGGCGCTGGGCTGCAGCGGGTCTGCCAGGGGAGTTTCCAAATAAAATATGCAAATACCATTAATTCCTCAAACTGGAGTCTCCTTTTCAAGGCTATAAATCAAACTCGACAGCATATACACTGGGGGGAAAGGAAAAGAAGAGGGAGAGGAAAAAAAAAAGAGCAGCTTTTAGCGTGATGATGTGAAAGTGGAATAAGCTCAGAAGCTGCAGACGTGCTGTGTGTGCTGTGCAGGGCTGCGACCCTGCAGCTTCCCAGGGTGGGAGAAGCATCTTGCTGCAGGAGTGGGGAGAGGTTCTCTGGAGTTCTTAGAAACTAACAGTAATTTACATCACAACTCATGCATTAATCACAGAACCCCAGCCTGGTTTGTGGTGAAGGAACCTTAAAGCTCCTCCAGCTCCAACCCCTTCCACTGGAGCAGCTTGCTCCAAGCCCCTGTGTCCAACCTGGCCTTGAACACTGCCAGGGATGGGGCAGCCACAGCTTCTCTGGGCACCCTGTGCCAGCGCCTCAGCACCCTCCCAGGGAAGAGCTTCTGCCTAGGAGCTCATCTCAGTCTCCCCTCGGGCAGGTTCAAGCCATTCCCCTTGGCCTGGCCCTACAGGCCCTTGTCCCAAGCCCCTCTCCAGCTTTCCTGCAGCCCCTTCAGGCACTGGAGCTGCTCTATGGTCTCCTGGAGCCTTTCCCTGTCCAGGCTGAAAACCCCTGCACCCTTGGCCTGTCTCCAGAGCAGAGGTTCACACATATAGTAACAAAAATGAAAAAATGGAGAATGGTTTGAATATGCTACAGAAAGATACCCCAAACCCTATGCTTTTATACATAGACATGAACTTTAACTCAAATGGGGATTCAAGAGATGGCAACGCTGGGAAAAAAGAATTAAACTGGGAACCAGTTCCCAGTCCTGCTTCAGGCTCCTCTTGGCAGGGGCTGAGAAACACCTTTTCCCCATTCCCCCCAGTTCTACCTCGAAAACCACCTCACTCCCTTCTAACATCACCATCTCCGACTCCTCAAATCTCATGTTTTCACACCCCTGACATCACGTACAGGGAAATGATGGTGCAACCTCATTGCACGCTGGAGGGACATAGCAATGACTTCCCAAGCTTTTCCCTCCAGATGCAAAGGAACCGGGACACTACGTTCTGTCTGACATGAGACAACAGCATTGGATCTGGACAAAGTTCTTTCAGCCAAGCCAGAAATAATGTAATGTGAACCCAAAGGGATTCTAAACACAGTTAGCGAGCTCCGCCAGCACCCTGGAACAAGATCAAGGAAAGCACCAGTATTTCCACGCTTATACCAGCATCACAGCAGGCTCTGCACAAACCCAGGAGCTGGCCTATGGTGCCTACAGATAACAAAGACAGCAGGAAAGGGAGACTCATGTTTCCTAAGATGAAAATAAACACGTGCAAAACCCCCCT